TTAACGTTTTTTTTGTAGTGTTTACATTAGTTTTTATTAGTGTCAAAAATGGCTTATGTGTATAGGAACTCGTAGTTGATGGATATCATTTTAATTTATTGTGAGGCAAAGATAACATTTGTGTTAGTTCGTATAGAAACTGGGTAAGACGGGTCCAAATGTGTTTATACGTCTGTGGACAAAATTTTAAACGGTTGTTGTTAGCAGCAAGTATGTCAAATTATTTTATTAATTAAAGCCACAAATTACATATTTAATAATAACAATAGCGCCAAAAGCAGTTGAATTTGTCGATATAAAATTTTATTTATTTTTTCCTTGGGAAATTCTTTCAATTTTATATTCGTCCATTTTTTATTACACTTTTGCACCGCACCGGTTGCCCACTGCATACTTTGCTTTGCGGAAGGTCAGGTTTTACAGTGAATCAGTTTCCAGTGCCGTGCAGATGTGTATTTTTAAATCATTTTCGAGCGTCTCTTTTTGATTGTATTTATTTTGTAAGAGTCCCCTGTACATTATTTTTTTTTTAAATCACGTTGTATAGTTATATTTGTAATTAATAAAACAAATCAATTTTTTAGGAAGGAGGATGAATGTATTTTCATATTTGTTATCAAAATGCGTTCCCCATCAAAATAAAAGTTTACTTGTCTCTTTGTCAGGAAAAGTTACGAGAAAGGGGCAAAAGTTAGATTTCTTTAGAATATTGGTCAAGCAGGTACTTATATTTTTATTTAGTTGCTGACTTGATCTCATAGAACAAAACAATATAGCCGTAATGCAATTGCTAGGTAATTTCAGATGGAAAACAAATAAATTTTGTCAAAGTATCTATTAGACTTGCCTAGTTTTATTGCACATATAGTAGCATTTATTTGTCTTTTATTTCCGATGGATAGATTGCCTTATATGTTTTACGACCAGCTTAATCTCCAAATCAACAACGTTTCTGCGAAAATAGAATAAGTTGCAGTAAAGAAAGAAGTTATTAGTAGCAACATAAAACTGTTGGAAAGAAATTAACCAAAGTGTTTTATATTTCATAATATATTTGTAGATATTCTGTAACTAAAAATTCTGTAATAAATTGCTTAAATGTCATCATTTAAGAATTGTACCGGGTGGTTTAAATTGGTCGGTTTTTAAGAATTACTGCCAATCTATTATAGCTAGAGCAAATCTGATAGACGAGTACAGAGCTCTTTTGTATAGAAAATGGCGCAAACCGCATCTCTCCATCTGTTATCGTTTTCGTACTACAGGGCGTTTCTCGATTATCGGCTAAACAGACTGGTGCCCTTTTCTTGTTTCCCTTTCAAGATATCTTCAAGATATTTTCAGTTCTTAGATTAAAACATTTTATTAAATTGTATTCGTCTTCATTTGAGTAAAAAACTATTTCCGATTTGTGTTAACATGCTACTAATAATGTGAATCGTCAAACTTATTTGTTTTCGAAGTCTTCTCAGTAAGAAAACTTAAATATCGTTGGTATTTTACGCACATCTAAAAAAAAATAATAAGTATAGTATATATTTTTGGAATGCATTTTTAGCCCCCTTTCCGTTTTCGAAATAAAATACAGGGTGTTCCATATAAAAAAACACAAGTTGTGGTTATATCACAAAAACTAAAAATATTGTTACATTTATTTTTATGTATCTCAAAAAAATTCCCGTAGAATATTCAATCGGTTTTAAAATATCTTGAAAGGGAAACGAGAACAGGACACCAGTCGGTTTAGCCAAAAATCAAGAAACGCCCTGTAGCTCGAAAACGGTAACACATAGAGAGATGCGGTTTGCGCCATTTATATTTTCTCGAAAAAAAAGCTCTGGATTCGTCTATCAGATTTGCTCCATCTATGACAGATTCGCAATAACCCTTGAAAACCGACCAATGTGAACAACCACATTAAACAGTTATTAACAAATAATTATCGAAAATAAGATCTAAATACGAAATGTTTAAATAATTAATAGAAAAACACATACCTGATATGTTTACATTCTCAAATAATGCAGTCATTCGGAGAAACATCCTATATTCTTGCTTTCACCTTTAAATAAATATTTTCCTATTAACCTAAATTTTTTTAATTTTGTGTATAACATTTCAGTAAGAAGCAGTATATTATGGCAAGACTGTAGAGAATGTTAAATATTAAATCAGAATCTGGTACAGACGGGAATCCTTATGGTTATGAAAACTAATACGTGAGCTATTTAGAAAATTATAAAACGTCAAGACCATATATGCGGCCTCTTGTTGTAAGAAAAGTGCACAACTTATGTAAATGTATTCAACGTATGCGCAAAGCATGCTATACAGAAATAGTAGATTGGTTTTGTATATTTACAATGGAGTTTTTCCTACTCTCTCCCTAGGTACTAACTGTCTCTTCTTTGTAATGAAGGATAGTTGGCGTTTTGCATTTGAGTTAGTTTTTATTTATATTAAAGAATCCACTTTTACTTTAATGTTGCCCAGTGTTTCAGTTACCAATGTTGATTTTACTTTTATTTTACTCTATGAAAAAGTTATTAACATATTTTTCAAAATGGTGTTCATGTATCCTAAATATTTTTTATTCATTCGCGGATCATCATACTTATACTGTATGTACGTATAGTCGTGTAAGTCAGAAAGTATTTGTTGTCTACAGCTGTACCTATATTGCGTTATAAATCATTGAAATACCAACCGCAAGGTGTGTGACGTTATTGCATCGAAGTACACATTTAACTACAATGTATATTTATAACTACATTACAGTATCTATCTCAGTGGTGATGCATATATCTTATTTCATGAATATCTTAAATAATCACGTCATTTATTTATTTTTTTTATTAAGTGGTTTAGTTAGAAAAAAATTATTTTTTCTTCTATTAGAATAAATATTTCGTGTCTTATTAGTATTTAAAATATATATAAATAATTATTTCTTTATTGGTACTACAAAAGTTCTAGAAAAAGTATTTTTTACATTAAAATTAGTTGTTACTTACTCTTCCAAAAATAAAGAAATATGGAGAAAACTTTTCGACATATCAATTAGTTTGGTTAAAATCCTACTTGTAGTCTATTTCTTATTTATAACACAAATTAAGTATAACAGTCTTATTCTGTGTATATCTTATGTATTTTAGAGTCGTAAACAAATAAATTTAGCAAGAAGACTATAAATCACTCCTTCATTCTGTAACTTTAATAGAAAATGTGATACATATTTATCTTCCCCACTTTGTAATGTTGGTGGTCAGGGTCGGTATTTTTATTTATATTCACTCGACAATTTTAATAGTTATGAGAGATAAAGCGCTTTACATTCATTTACTTGAAGATGGATTCTGTCTACATATACAGGGTGGACCAATAAAACAGTCGACCTGAAATATTTTCAATGCAACAGGTTTTTCCGGAACATTATTTTAAAGGTATTTCAATTCTCTTTACAAACATGCTGAAATTTTTTTGTTCTGCCTTAAAATTAAAGTAAAAAAACCTGTTCGGTGAAATAAATCGAAAAAAAATCACATGCTACCACTATTCAGTGGCGAAGATCTTCTAAAGAGGTAAGTTTCATTTTATAAATAACTCCATAAGAAAAAGTCCAATCGTGTTAAATCAGGCGATCTTGGGAGCCATTCAATGAAACCCCTTCTACCAATCCAGTGTTCTGGAAAATGTTAATCAAAAAGTTACGTACAGCAGCTGCATAGTGTGACGGAACGCCACCCTGTTGAAAAAGACATCATTCTCTGGGATCTGATTGTTGACTTCAAGAATCTGTACAATGCTTCTTAGCGACTATACATGAAGAAAGTAATGAATTTTCATTATAATTTTAATAACAAATTTTAATCAAAATACCTTCTTTTCGTTTTTTAATATTACCTCGCTTATTGTTAATGATGGACCCAATAAACCAATATGACTATGCTCCAAATATGTAAAAACATAGAGGGTGTTCTATTTAAATTAACAGAGTTAACAATCGCAGCCATTTAGTTTGGACTTCATTTGTTTTTCTACCATCATTTTCGAAAACTTCATAAAAAATCGTGCAACTTTTGTATTTCACATTTTTCTTATAACTCTTAAAACAAAAAAGTTAAAGGGGGGTCAAAATATAGCGAATCATCCTGTACACTTTCAAAAAAATTGTCTCTTTTCTTGCTTCTAACATAACCTCTGTGACAAAAGGACAAAAATAAACTCGCATAATGAACCACAATGCAGGGTGTTTCTGAAATAAGTGCGCTCCTTGAAAGGGGTGATTGAGGTTACGAAAATGAGCAACCGATGGTATAAAACATTACGTATTAAATTGAAAAAAAAATCACATGAAGGTTTAAACAAATATAAAGCTCCTGGTGCGGCAGCCAAAATATAGTGAATCACCCTGTACATTATTTAATTCTTTAAGTATGTCGTGTTTTCTTTTTTTATTAATACTATTTGGATAGTTACATTATTTTAGATAACTTTTAATTAATATGGGCAATATATAAGCATGTTTACTAGATATTGCGATTGTAATTCAACGCTGGACGGGGCTGTAGGCCTCAGAGTAGTTGTTTCCAACAATATCATTAGTTATTAATTAATAGCTTGTCTTTTAAGTTGCTTTTGATCACTCCTAAATGATGTTTAAGAGTGTTTATGGCTATCAGTGTAAACCGTGATTATGTACTCGATTGTGGGTCAATAAATGCAGATACGAGAAGAGGATTCATTCCCATAATCCCCTAATCTGGAGTTTACCCACCAGACATCTAAATTGTTGCCGTTAATCCCATTAAATGAATCACAAGCAAAAGACGAAGGCAAAAGCTTTATGAACTTATAAAAACATAAAATCCAACGTGACACATCTTAATGGGATTAAAACCATAAAAATTCGTCCGCGACCAGTATCGACGAGTCTTTCCCGGGCAGCACACGTAATCTCCACCACGTTCGTTTGTAAGTTTGCCTGCAAAGCCCTGGTGATGTTTAACTTGTATCAGAGCATCAACAAGAAAGACGAGCAAGAAAAGGAACCGGATGTCATAGGTCACGAGAGGTTCTATCAGGCCCGGACCACCAGTAGAAGTTCGAGGAAAAAGAAAAGGGTGACTAGGAGGACGCATAGCGCGGGGGAATTTCCCATTTCCACGCTTTCCGCCGCCAATAAAAGGGAGGCTTTCAGGAACAGGAGCCAGAGCTCGGAAAACAAAAGTGATGATGGTGGAAAGTCCACTCCGCAAAGGGTAGATTCCTTTGCCAAAGTTTTCTTCGGATCTAAACGGTATTTATTTAAAAAAAAAACTCTTTATACCTAGTTTTATAAATCTACATAGAATGTACCCACATCGCATTCTAATCGCCTTATATAGTTTACTTTTATTTAGAAATTGGTAAATACTAATGCTACTAAGGTTTGCAGTTTGGAAACAGTATATAGAAATAAATTGAGGATTGTTGTGTTTCGAGTATACCTAAACCAAACTCGTTATATGTTTTTACACAGTCTACAAGAATGTATTCTTAAGATTATTATGGTATAAGATTTCTCGGTCTATGATCCCCTTACTGTACGCATAAAGAGTTCCTGAATAGAATATACCAGCAAGCCATCACAGATTCCTGCAATCAGAATAAAACGATTTAGATCAACTTATATCCAACACCTACTCGTATTTAGGTACAACACTCTTACAATGTGATATCTCGTTTTTAAAAAACCGATTTGAACTAGAGACTTGATGCACATGTTACGGCGTAGATAGGGATAGTTTGATGGATATAATTGAAGGAGAAATAAAAGATAAAAGTCAAAATTTCTTAAACATCCAAAGAGCTTTGCAAATCCCAAATAATAATAATTCAAAAAAACTACTAGTAGTCCGGTCAAATTAGACCAAAAAATAAGAGTGAAGGTACATACATTTGCAACAAGCTGAAAGTGAGTAAAGTTGTTTAAAACATAATTAAAAATAACATATTAAAATTCCTCATCGTTCCGGTACTCTGAAAAAAATTTACTCCAGGTCAAAGGTCAAAAAAATGGGTTTTTCGCGATTTTCAGCTAATCGGTAAATTTTATCATAAAATTACCCCTGACAAAAATTGTAGATCATAAAATTATCTATAAAAAATGTATCAATACTTAAAAACCCATTTTTTTGACCTCGATTAAATTTTTTTCCAAGTACCGGAACGATGAGGAATTTTAATATGTTATTTTTAATTATGTTTTGAACAACTTTACTCACTTTCAGCTTGTTGTAAATGTATGTATCTTTTAATGTCTAGATTGACCGGACTATAGTTCAAAATCGATAGGATGTACATTTTTCGAGAAAAATCAATGTGAAACTCGTTGCTCAAATAAAACGTCATAAGTTTTTAAAAATATTCACCTGAAAAAGTATGTTACAATTAATCCAATAAAGATGTCAATTTATAAAAAAAATCCAAACAGTATAATTTTTTTCAGGGTTGCTTGGGGACTGCCTCCTAAGTATCCAAAAGATCACATTCGAACTCCTGGTACGATTTGCGCTATGGGGGTGGTTTCCTAGAGATTTTTCTAAAGCAAAATGACCTTTATAAAAGTTGTAGGGAATCAAATTCTGAACAAATTTTCCCTGTATTTTTTTTTTTGAATCTCTAATACTTAACGAATTACTGCGCATTATATTACAAAAAAAATCGTTTACCACAGGATTGGTGTCATAAACATTTTTTTCTTTAATAACTTTAATAAAAGTTGGAGAGGAGTAAATGCTCTACAATTTTGCTCTATCAATTTTTGTATTATCTCGACTACTTAATAAGTTACAGCGCATTTATTTATACCTCATTCACGATCTGCATGAAAATTATCAACTCAATTTAATCGTCCTCTTTTCCTGGAAGGCTCAGGTAAATTCATCTCTTCCTCATCATCGCCCGGATCGATGTTTGAACTATCTTCTTGCGTGCGTAACTGTAATTTCCAAATTCCAAATGAAAACTAAACATGAACTGATGCGGCCTGTCAGCTAACACTTGACAGCCTAACACCACTAGCCCCACTCCCACTGTTGCCAACTCTTTGTAAAAACATGTTTACAAGACCACCACTGCAGCGTGTGCATTTTTTTCATATAATGAGCAGTAGCTCGTTAAGTATTAGAGATACAAAAAAAATGTATAAGGATAAGTTGTTCAAAATTTGATCCTATACAACTTTTATTAAGGTCATTTTGCTCTAAAAAATGTTTAGGAAACCACCTCCATGGTGCAAATCGTACCAGGAGTTCGAGTGTGATCTTTTGGTTGGATACTCAGGAGGCAGTCCCCAAGCAACCCTGAAAAAATCAGCCTGTTTGGAATTTTTTTTGCGGCCCCTATGAGCCGAGCACAACTTTATTGGATTAAATAGTTTCATCATAATTTGACAACAAATTTTAATTGTCACAAGATATGAAAACAATTTAATTAATTTTTGGCGTTATGTCGTATAATCAGTACTGTTTAAATGAACTGGCCGACATGCATTTGATATACAGGGTGAGTTTTTTTCAATGTTTAGTGTGAGGATCTGGGAATGTAGCAAATATACAAAAAAGCTTAAATGAGGAAAGATGTGCAGTTTTGTGATCCTTATTAAATGTTATTTTTATTTTTTTGAATAAACGTCATGGCTGACGAGATATTTGGAAAAATCCTAATTCGGCCAATTCTTTCAGATAGTAGTAGTAGTTCCGTTGCTTTTAATTTTACAACAAAATTTTAATTTCAGTGTTTCAGATTTTTGCAGTGTTAATAAGACAGTGTGATCAAATTGTTCTTGTACACTTTCGTTTTCAAGTTATAACATAAACTTAAATTTTTTTTTAATGTAAACCATAGTTAGCTATGAGCTTGAAAAAAATGTATTTTTTATGCATTCTAACGATTCGGTATTGTTATTTTGAAAAATGAGGGAACTGCAGTCGTTTTTAACTTTTCATTTGCTGGTTGACGTAGATGTCTGTGAAAATTATACGCAAATCAACGGATAAAATCAGAACAATTGAAGTCGGCATCATGTGTGCACCTCTGTATGTGTCAGGGCACTGGAGCAGTGTGCGACTGGCATATTTTACATAAAACATAACAAAAAGTAAAGAATAAAAAATTTAAATCATAATGATGGAAATCGTTTGTGGTACGTAAATGAAATAGCGGTCGATAGCCGCACGGTTTAAGGCGTCAGTACTTAAATCGATGTGTCGAACTGCCCGGGTTTCGAATTCCGCGGCCGGTGACCGTAGATTATCTATACTTGTACGGAGGATTGGCGCCCTCTGTGCAGGTATGGTAGGGTGGAAGAATGTTGGCTTGGGTCAATGTGAGAGATTGACACCGGTTGGCATTTGACCACCCCCCTAATTAATGAGGTTTTCCAGGTTTCCCACATTCCTGCACTGAATGGTGGTTAGGGCCTACCAACATAAGTCGTTCCTGGGCGCAAATGCGGCCTGCGTAATAATAATATGCCGCCTCCTCTCTCGCACAAGTCTCTGACTTCTGGGCTACTTCTCGTAATTAGAATGAGGAGTAGAGATATTATTATTATTATTAATACTTAACAAAGACGCAAAAAATATCAGAATTTTATGAACAAACCATTATTTACTTTGAAGATTTAAAGAAATTGTTTAAAAAGCCCACCGTTATTATTAATGCACAAGATACATCTTTTTGAAACAGAATTTGAGGTTGAGGCTTTTCTCACAGAACGCGTATCGATATTGTCAAAAGCTTCCTGAACGAATATAACACTCAAGAATTATACGCTTTTCCTCGTTTGAAAAATTCATTGTCTTTGGCAATTGAGACGACTTTTAAGAAAGAAACTAACTGTCAAATAATGCTACAGTAACTAAAAGCGTTGTCAGTAAACATTTCGATTGTTTTCACAACCATCAATTGAAAAGTTAAAAACAGCTGCAGTTTTCCCATTTTTCAAAATAACAATACTGAATATTATATCGTTGGAATGCGCAAAAAAAGACAATTTGTTCTAGCCTATAGCTAACTATGGTTTACATTTAAAAAACTTGAAGTTTATGTTATAACTTGAAAACGAAAATGTACATGAACAATTTAATCGCCTTATCTGATTAACACTGTAAAAACCTGAAACTTTGTAATTTAATTTTTTTTTATAAAATAAATAGCAACGAAGCTATACGCATCTGAAGGAATTGACCGAATTCGGATTTTATATCTAGTCAACCATGACGTTTTTTCAAAAAATAAAAGTAACATTTAATAAGGATCATAAAATTGCACATCTTTCCTCATTTAAGCGTTTTTGTATCTCTGCTACTTCCCCAGATCTCTACCTAAACATCGAAAAAAACTCACCTTGTATAGAGAATCTAGGTGTAATTTATTGGCAACAGCAAGGCGATATGCTGGAAAGTTTCCAGATCAACAAGTTCCTATCCCCAGTACTTTTGCAATTGTCCGAAGATACTATATTGTTGCATACTGTTCATACTAGAGAACATGCTCGTCNTTTTAACTTTTCATTTGCTGGTTGACGTAGATGTCTGTGAAAATTATACGCAAATCAACGGATAAAATCAGAACAATTGAAGTCGGCATCATGTGTGCACCTCTGTATGTGTCAGGGCACTGGAGCAGTGTGCGACTGGCATATTTTACATAAAACAATAATAAAAAGTAAAGAATAAAGAATTTAAATCATAATGATGGAAATCGTTTGTGGTAAGTAAATGAAATACTTAACAAAGACGCAAAAAATATCAGAATTTTATGAACAAACCATTATTTACTTTGAAGATATTAAAGAAATTGTTTAAAAAGCCCACCGTTATTATTAATGCACAGGATACATCTTTTTGAAACAGAGTTGAGGCTTTTCTCACAGAACGCGTATCAATATTGTCAAAAGCTTCCTGAACGAATATAACACTCAATAATTATACGCTTTTCCTCGTTTGAAAAATTCCATCTACGTCAGCGAGCAATTGAAAAGTTAAAAACAGCTGCAGTTTTCCCATTTTTTCAAAATAACAATACTGAATATTATATCATTGGAAAGCGCAAAAAAAGACAATTTGTTCTAGCCTATAGCTAACTATGGTTTATATTTAAAAAACTTGAAGTTTATGTTATAACTTGAAAACGAAAGTGTACATGAACAATTTAATCACCCTATCTTATTAACACTGCAAAAACCTGAAACTTTGTAATTTAAAATTGTTTTGTAAAATAAATAGCAACGAAGCTACACGCATCTGAAGGAATTGACCGAATTCGGATTTTATATCTAGTTATATGACGTTTTTTCAAAAAATAAAAGTAACATTTAATAAGGATCATAAAATTTCACATCTTTCCTCATTTAAGCGTTTTTGTATCTCTGCTACTTCCCCAGATCCCTACCTAAACATCGAAAAAAACTCACCTTGTATAGAGAATCTAGGTGTAATTTATTGGCAACAGCAAGGCGATATGCTGAAAAGTTTCCAGATCAACAAGTTCCTATCCCCAGTACTTTTGCAATTGTCCGAAGATACTATATTGTTGCATACTGTTCATACTAGAGAACATGCTCGTCCTCGGTCAGTAAGGACTGTAGATGTGGAAGAAGCACTTTTAAAGACCGTTGAAGAAAATCTACACACAAGTGTAAAAAGGATTGCTGCTGAATTCAATATTTCGAAGTCTACGGTCCACATAAAGTTAAGAGAACAATAATTACGACCCTATCGTCTAATAAGAGGTAACGACATTTCCCCAGGATAACAATAAAACTAAATTTTTGTAACTGGTTCAGAAATAAACAAAAGGAACATAATGATTTCTGCAGCACAATCCAGTAAGTAAATATTTACTGTCGAGTCGTGTTTTACAAAAAATAAAGTAATACTTAACAGTCATGAGTATAATCCAAAGGCAACAATTGTGTACCATTCCTAACATCAGTTCGCTATTAACGTATGGGTTGGAATTATAGGTGACCATTTATTAAGACCCGTTGAGATGCCGTCACGCTTAAGTGGTGTCAGTATTTAAATACAATACACTTTGCCAAATCTATCTAGCAGATGTACCCTTGAATATTAGAAGAGACCTATGGCTTGTACATGATGGTGCACCACCACATTACACTTAAACTGTGCGGCAGTTTGTTAATAATCAGTTTGTTGGGCGATGGATTGGATGCGGTCAAGATGCAGCTGTAATTTGGCCTGGCAGGTCACCCGACCTGAATCATTTAGACTTTTATTTTTGGGCAATCATGAAAGGTAAAGTTTGTCTGTCATTGTGTCTGTTTTTTAAAATAAATTATTTGGAAAGAAAATGTTCTCGATATATTTAAGTTTTAAATAATATTGCAAACCTTCAAAGAAGCTACCTTCTTATCTTTTTTTTTGGTAGCAGTAATGTCACTTTGGATAAAAGCTAACACGACATTGAGCCATGATAAGTTATGTATAACTTTTTTCTGCATTTTGCTTTCTTGTAAAAATAATAAGCATCTGAATAGCAGTCGATATTATATATTAATATTATATAGATATAAAACAGAAAAAGAATAGGAAATAAGTGTTGACAATCTATCTGTAGATTAATACCCAGGAAGTGACGACGCGTAACTCTGGAGCGACTTCCTTTAATTTTTCGCATTGAAAGATCACGGAGAACATGTAAACATCGGAAAATGTACCTTTCCTGTTTTGTCCAGGAAGTAAATTACTCAATAATTGTGATTAATGCATGTTTTAATAGTTTCCTAAAAGCATTCTGCGGGGTGTGATTATGTTTATAGTACCGTACGCGATTTCCTGTACGTTCAATAGGCCCGCAAAATTCAGAAAACATACGAGGTAAAAATATGCTTTTATCTTTCTTATTTTGAATGTATTGTTAGTTGTCTTATACCCTGAAGAAAACTTATAAAACTGGTACTGAAGAGATATTATTTCTAACTTGCTTAGATTTTCTAAAATCCTGGACAAAGAATTGCGCATATAAAGGCTCCAGAAACGTTCTATCCAAATATATAGGAGATTATAATAAAAATACACAAATCCAGATTATACATAATATTCAATGTTTTTCTAAGAATAGCTTTAAAATAGCAAGAAATATTTATAAAATTTTTATCTTTACCATTTTTTTGAAGTATAAAAGTAAAGATAAAGAAGATAGAATCTAATGTAAATAACTCTGTACAACCTGATGGGTTTTTTAAAAGAAAACACCCATAATTTGCATTATGGGCTACCTCTTTTGAACTTTTTTGATGGGTGCTTATCTAACAATAACTGAAAATGTTTTCCATCCAGTTTTCCATCCACCTAGTATTTTTTTATTTTTAAATTGATAAGTTAAATTTTTATTTTACAAATTCGAACACGTTCAAAGATTCAAACTGAATTTTCTTGACAATGATATTACATTGCCATGAACTCATTATTGAAATATTGATTTGCTGATATTTTATAATTATTTTAGTACTGTATAAACAATATATTATTATTGTATAATATGAGTATTTTGATCAATTTTATTAAATGCACTTGGTAATATGGAATTTATTAAATTAAATAATATTAGTTATTATTTACCTTGTGTCATAACTATTATTTTTAGTTTTTTACTACATCGATTATATTGATTATATACAAATTAGATACTGCTTATTATAGCTAAGATATACTTTTAAGAGCGCCAAATTACGAATTATGTGTGTTATTTTATTTGTATATATTTATCTTTATTACAATCCAAACCTATTCCTGAAAAATATATAAATTAATCAGAAAATGGGAATACTCCTGCATTGTGTAATATTGCAATTTCTTAAAAAGAAAATAATAGAATTATACAATATTTTTGTACATTTAGTAACATAATAATACATGATATTTATGGAAAATGCAATTAATTAACACATATTTGGAAGTGTATATTTTAAGAAAATTAAAAGATTTCCATACATGTAATCTAAAGAATTTTGATGTCAAGTAATGGAAGCATGTTACAGAATAATTTGTTTATAAAGACTTTTTTGTAGATTTCATTTCACTTTAAAAATCTAGAAGGCATTGCAAACGCCTGAAGATGGAAATCTAGTCCAGTTATTGATACTGGTAGTTACTTTGGCAAATAATTGAATCTGTTTAAGGGATTAAAATTGTGAAAATATTTAATATGCATGCTACTATATAGTCAGTATGATCAGTAATTGGTAAATTTTTCATCTACAGAAATTATTAAAATCTCCAGGATTTTTAAAATGAAATGAAACTTCAATCGATTCATAAGTCCCAAAAAAAAGTAGAAGGTTGCACTGGTTCCTAATAGGTCACACTATACAGGTACAGAAATCAAATAAGCTACAATATAGTTTGAGAAACAATTTTTTATTTTTTGTAAATAAGTGATAAAAATTATAGTTAATAACAATTTTGTTTGCTGTCAAACATATTAAAAATCAGTACTGTTATTAAGAATGATGATTCTGAGATACAATCACAATATTAGTATTGTGGGGAAGGTTACTGTCCACCAAAATAAATTCACACTAAGTAACACAACAAATAATATATTTTGCTAATAGTATTGCAGAAAAACGTGACGATGTCCAAAAAGAAATCAATGATATTAGATAACGAACGGCAACGGCGCGACGAGGAATGGATTGGTACTATTTAATTAAACCGACAAATACCCTTAATAGGAATATATACTTAAATGTACCTACAATGCAGCAACTGTTATTCGAAATAATTTAAATAAAAATGTTTACATCCAGGCACTAAGCTTATTGATAACTGGAATTTTATTTTAGCTTATGCCGAAATATTACTTTATTATTTACGTGACAATAGTGACGTACAAGGAGACACATAGTATATTTTGAATAATAGTAATGCTTACTTTCGCCATTAAGGGCCCCATATTCTTTAAATAGTGTTTTCCGCAAAGACAAATAATTTCAAACATTTAATAACTGAATAATCTAAAGCTTATCAAATAATAGGAATGTTATGTCATGCCATCTGGTTATTTTCAAAGACGCCGCAGTAAAACGAATAAACAGGTGCAAAAAACGATCAAACCATCAAGGTTTTAGGTACTGAAATCTACGAAAATACTAACTTTTTTATATATAATTCCACATGTAAATATTCTTATAACATTTACTTGCTTAGTCCTACATATAAAATTGTTTACTTTTATTTATAAGTACGTGAAAATAATTTTTAAAATGTGGGGTTAGAATAACAGCAAACGCATGTTTTACAAACGCTTTTTTTTAATTATTATTTTATTTGAGTAAATTTAAATGGTAACAATGAATAAACAAAACATCAAGGATTTTATTTTTGTGCTTACTTTTGTTCTACACGTTTTACTTTCAAAGATTTCAGTACCTAAAAACGCCAGAAATTTCACTATTTCTCGGCCGGGAATATGGCCACCTTAATAAATGTGTATGAATGAATGAACTTCAAAGGTTAATGTTCTACTACCTCTAATATTTAATATGTTAAGTACCTACTACAAATATAAATTGTTAGTGTAAAACAATATTTGCGCCACTTATACTTAATGATTAAAAATAAAGCAAACATTTTTAGGAATTTACAACTTACTTTTTAGCTACCCTTTTGTATAATGTTGATTTAAATGCTACTAGATTCTCAGCACTTAAGTATTACTGGTTGTTTGATAAAACAGTGTAGGAAATTGAACTTAATTAGGGAGGGAAATATCTGAAACCAACACATTTTTCCTGGTATCGATTTATTCGGTATTGTTGGCAGGTGAATGTTTTATTTATAACTTCATAAGAAAGTAACAAACTTACCGACGGTCGATCGTATCTAAATTTAGGATTCACATCAAATATTTATTGAAGTATTAATATAACGTGTATTTAGGACTTTTTCTAGGACTCGTCAATAAATATTGACATGCACATATTGAAATATATATTTATATCCATAAATTGATAGTAATTCCTTGGAAAAATATTTTTTGGGTGGTAGAAAAAAGTTGTTTTGATAGCCAAGAACAAAAATAACTAAGAAAATGCCAGAACATACGTGTAACATATTTAGTAGGTATTGAATAGTTTACGAGTATACTAAGCCTTTTTCTATTGGTTTAAGAAGAAAAATATATCTAGTAATTTGTTCACCAGTTCTACAAAATGATTATGTCCACGTTGAATGCACATACACGTACAGTTCGTTTTTTCAGACAATCTGGGTTGCCTAAACATGAATATAGTGCGTTGAAAACAGACGCAGGAGTTGAAAAATTCAAAGGAGAGAAGCAAATTCGAAATGGCGCATTCATGACGTGCAAGAATCACTTGTCCAATAATGAGAGATACGAGCTGAAAACGCAGCTAGACGATATTGGTTCTAGAGCCGACAAGCATTGGTAAGTTTAATTATTTCCTGTGTTTGTAAAGTAATAATAGTGAACATGATTAACTGCCTCTAATCCAATTTGTTTCGTGATACATAATATTTTAGGCATCTACCGTATTATTTACAATCTATTATGATAAATTTAAAAGAATAACATCATGGTAAGTTATCAATCGATCTCAGTATGTGCAATATTGTTGTTTCACGACTAATAGTTTTCTCCAAACTTCAGGTGTTCCTCAGGGGTCCAAACTTGGACCTCTTTTATTTATTATTTATACTGGCGATAATGCAGAAGACCTTGATGTCCAATACACCATTATACGTTAATGATGTAAAAATATTTTGTCACATTAACTATGTTTGTGTCTGTGACAATCTTCAGTATAACTGTAATTTTGCTTTACGGGGGTAACAAAAACATTTCTTTTAATATCAGCAAGTGTAATATTATGTTCTTTTATCAAAGAGAGGTTATAATGCTTAACTATGCATTTCGCGGTAGTATTCTCAAGACTAAGTCATCATTTTTTTATTCATAGTTACATAACTACTATTCTAATGCAATTAGCAGTTTGAAATTTGTTTTACGAAATTGGACTTAAGGATCACTTTACCCTCATTATCATTTACAATATTTGTGAGACCTAAACTGGAATTTTAGTTAGATGGAGATCGATTTATATTTGATAAACCTAGAGTCCAGTGAAGATTTTTTTAAATGTCCCACATTTCTATTGGATGGGGTCCTATTCGAAGTATTTCGCAAGACTTATTCTACATTCATTTCATCCTACAAAGCTACTTACTTGCCAACAAACATATGTAGATAATAATATTCTTATATAAAGTCATTCATTCATTATGAAATTATAAATAAATCTATAACTAAAAGTATTCCATACAGAATTCTCTGATTTAACACCAGACATGTTGTATAATTACAATTATAGGTATGGAGGATTTTGATCATTTCTTGTAGTATGACTGATGTAAAAAATATTTTCAACAGTGTATATTCTTATTCTTTTTTATCGTCTCCTGTTATCATTTTTATTATTTTAACGTATTAACTTTTAAGCTTATATCTTATTCTTTTTAATCTAAAATTTTATTATTTTCGTGTATCTATACTGTTTTGTTTATTTGTTTTATTCTTATTTTAACCTATATGTATTTACTTTAAATAATTAAATATTTGTATATATTTTAAAAGCACTTTTTATAACTTTTGTTTGATAACATATTTTTTTTAACTTATTCTTTAAATGAGATTTCTACTCTGGTTATTTTAATAGAAAGTAAATAAGTGGTTATTTTAATATATCATTAAATTAGTTACAGTAAAACGATATTTCGTTGTTGGCCTGCGTTATTCAGTCATTTATTGTATGAAATTAAATATGTATATACATTACTGTCATCAAAAAACAAAAACTATTTCATGATTTCAAAGTATTAACTGAAATATATTCCACCATGTTAACCAGTTGATTCCATTTTCATCCAAATTAGTATTTTATGAATCTAAAGTTACTGTTGAAATTAATTCAAGCGTAGCACTAGCATATCAAGAAAATGGAACTTTGCATGCAAGTAAAGAATACCCTGTATATCCTCATTATCATTTTTAAAGAAAATATACACTAGGCATAACAATTAATGGATATTAAAAACAAACAAACAAATACCGCAAGTATATGAAGTGAAAATTTTATTATTTTTCAAAGGTGTCAAAAAAATAAGTAAACAAGTACTATTATATATTTGTATATTATATGTTATAAACTAGGCACAAAAATTAAGGGATATTAAAAAAATCTCAAATTTTTGGATGATTTTCAAAGAGCTATAATTTGGAGGGAAATGATCGTAGATAGAATAAAAAAAATTGAAGCTTCAAGTTTCCAGTTTTCGGATTTGGAGTTTAAAATTTCTTAGCGTCGGCGGTTTTTGATTACTCATGAGAAAACCAGCGAAAAAGGACACTTTGAAGGTTAAAAAGTTACAGACAATATTAGGCAATATAGTTTGTCCATTATTTGCAAAATTATGTCAAGTTATTCAAATATCCCTGATTATGCAATTTTTAACCTTTTTTTCAACCAACATTTTCACTTCGAATAAATTTTTTTTATCAAAAACCAATAATTACGACTTGTAGAGAATACTTTGCAGTTTTCAAAATCCTACTTGGATTTTCTGTAAGATCATTCTTTCCCGGGTAATTGATTGCCAAAGTCAAAAATTACTTTTTAGCTTTGATCGACGTAGCAACAAATCATCGTAGGAACAGGGCTTTGGAACCATTCAAATTGAAAGGAATTAAAATTATCTAAAAGGCCTTACTTTGAAAAATTTTTAAAGACAAAGAAAAATTTGGAAAAAATTTTTTTCGCTGGTTTTCTTATTTGTATGAATACTCAAAAATCGGTGACGCTAAAAAATTTTAAACTACCGATCCGAAAACTAGAAACTTGAGCTCTTTGAAAATCACCCATAAATTTGGGATTTTTTTAATATCCTTTAATTTTTGTGTCTAGTTTATAATATATAACATATAAATATATAATATTACTTATTTACTTATTTTTTTGACTCCTTAAGAAAAATAGCAGCATTTTATTTAGCATGGGATATAAAGTTATTTTCACTTCATATACTTGCGGTGTTTGTTTTACCTTAACCATAGAACTTAATAAAGTTACCTAACGCTCTTAAAACGTAAAGCAAGGCCCTTAGTTGAACGACTTGAGGTCGACAAGTTTTGGCAACTTACCAAGGCACTTACTGCAGACGCCGCTCTGCGACATATAGCACCAATTAAAATTAGTGATTAACCAGCCACTTGTGATTTTTGTTTCATTTTTTATTTGTAAAATGTAGACTTAATTTTCACGAAGTGCATTGCGAATGACAGGGCGTAAAAAAAATCTAAATTGCGTTGTAAATAGTAAATTAAAAAGTAGGTTTTGTTTCGCCTGGTGGATAAAATATTTTATATTTTAATTTGTAACTGTACATGTATATATGTATATATGTATTGTTTATATTTTAAACATATTTATTAGTAGCAGACAAAATGTCTGCGATTTACACAACTTTCACATAATGTTTTTTACTACCAAATAATAAATAATAATATTACAATTTTATTTTTTCCATAAAAATATTTTGCACATTAATGTGCAATATACAAGATTAGGTAAATCTAATTTTATATCTTTTGTTATTAGGAAAAGAACCGTATGTAAAATACCTTTTTTCACCGATAGGATAAAACTCTATCATTGGAAAAAAGGGTCACCATACTCACTTGCCGCATAAACAAGCATTTGGTTGCCATCCAATGACTACAGACGTGGTAGAATTTCATTAATGTACGGTTTTATCAAGAATTGCAATAACGCCAGTGATGTTTTGGTGGCCATTGAAAGTAAATCAGTGTTTAAAACTATTCAATGCTTGGCCTGTTATCAACGTCGTAAGTAGGGTATTTTAGCCGGCAGGGAGTCTCCCCCCTCCACTTTCTGGCTTGGGATGACCTTGAGGCCGAAGGCCGATGACGTTGGTGTATGGATGACCTTGAGGCTGAAAGCCGAAAGTGACGTAGGTTGGTGACTTTGATTTGACATTGCATTGCAGTTAACCTTGAAAGAGGCCGAAGGCCGATGACGTTGGTGTATGGATGACCTTGAGGCTGAAAGC